GACACAAATTGTGCATGGAGGCTGTGACCATCCTCTTTAGTTCTGGGACATCAAACCATATCAGACTAGGGATTTAAAAAAAAGAAAGGTCTTAATGAGAAACCATTACATTTCTCTCCTAGAGATAAACGAATGGTTAGCACCAAACGCTCATTACATAAAACACTTTACACAAGCCACAAATATACAAAACATATGGCCATTATTTTAATGACTTATGAGTGCACATTCCAGTACTAATAGTTAATGAGCTCATATTAATTCATTCATTAATTATCACCACATGGATTTTTATTAAAGGACGTCCATTAAAAGTTGTCATTAATTCACCATGGCTGAAATGACATTCAAAATATCACTTATTTTATATTTTTCACATTTGTGCGCAATGATTATACATCACCATATCCATATTGATTTATCTATCTCAGCCTCTTGTTCATTTTCAACTATACAGATCTTGGAAACTTCTTTCATATTTATTGGAACAGATCTGGTTTCTCCTGTATTAACGAGAAGCCTTAACAATCATTGTTATATTCTAGAACAAGGCTTGAAATTTCCACTCGGCTGCTCGCCAATGGCGAGTGGAAATGATAGTGGGGGCGAGTGTGTCCCCCAGGGCCGTCTTGCTGAGCAGGCGGAGCTCAGGCTGGATCTGTCATTGGCACTGGGAGCCATCAGACTGCTCAATAGCTGAGCGCAGTGAACGCAAAGGAAGGAGTGTGTGCTGTGCTCTCTGCCTCCCCTTAGAGTGCAGTACCCGGCTCTGTGTGAGTGAACAACGAAGTACTGCAACTTTTTATGGGGGGGGGTGTATGTGTACATGTGTGTGTGTGTCTGTGTATGCATGTACAACTGTACATGTATTTGTGTGTATGTACATGTGTGTATCTGTACATGTGTCTGCATTTATGTACATGTATATGTGTGTGTGTACATGTGTCTGTGTGTGTGCATGTACATGTGTGTGTGTGTATGTACGTACATGTGTCTGTGTATGTATGTACATGTGTCTGTGCGTGTGTATTTCTGTGTATGTACATGTATCTGTGTGTATGCGTGTCTGTACGTTCCTGTGTGTGTATACATGTATCTGCATGTGTGTGTGTACATGTGTGTGCATGTTTTCTGTGTGTGTGTGTGTATGTACATGTCCGTGTGTGTGTACAGGCGTCTCTGTTTGTGTGTGTTTGTTGGTGGCGAGTAACTCTAAGGTCTGGCTAGTAGCTCAGGACTTGAAATTTTTAAGCCCTGTTCTAGAATATTACATTTCATTACAATCACCCATAAAGAACAATAAAAAGTTAATATACATCTCCATCTCCAGTGATCATTCACCATTGTCCCAGCTTGTGCTGTTGAGTAATAATACTCTAAGTTTGGTCATAAATATAACATGTCATGCTGAACTTTACACACAGCTGTAATTGGCCCTTTACCGCGATCACAAAGCATGCCAAGCGCCTGTCCCAGGGGGCGCGGTTTTGGGAAGACGTCTATAGACCCCTCCCAGAACTGGATGACTGCACTGCAGCCGTCTTTTAGCTATAGTGTGGTTGGGAAGAGGTTAAGGCTTCTTAGCCCTCATCAGTGCAAGAAATGACTTTACTGGCTCTATGGTGTAAGGCTCTTGAGTCCATTAGGGTCATAGTGAGGTGGTAAAAAATGAAACAAAAAGCCTCAAAAGTCCCTCTTTTTCACTTGTATAGCACTTCCCCCTTAGGAGTCGCTAGGAGATTTGGGTCCCCCTATAGTCCTGCACAGCCAAGCATTACACATCTTCACAAAAACCTTGCATCCAGAGTCAGAAATCAGTCCTTGAGCTCTGGTTTTGTTGTTTTTTTTTTACGGGAATTGAACTAGGATAGGGTTAGGGGGGTACAGGATGCCCAAGGATATTGATAAACTGAGGACAACTTCCTGGAACTATTTACAAGTTTTCTCTGCAACACAGTCTCAGTTGTTGAGCTAGCCACCATCTCCAGACCCTAGATGAACTTCTCCTCTTCACCCACCAATCTGGAGGTATCCCTGAACAGGAGATCCGATTCCTGTCACTTTAAGAGATAAACAGTCATTGGCAGGTGGCTAATCTGGTTTTCCACAAGAGTGCCCCACTCAGGGGGTGTAGGTGTACTCACTCAGATCCTCTCCTGTACCTTTTGTGGGTTGGTGGCTGCTACCAGGCCTATCAGTTGGGTTGCTCCTTCCTTGCCATACAGGTGGTCCTCTCTCAGGGTGCCGATGAGCTCTGAGCTGACCTCCTTTCCAGCTCCAGGGCAGCAGGTGGTCCCCATCCCACTGGTCCTCCTCACAGCCTCCTTCCCTCAGCCTCACATCCTCCTCTCTGTCTTTCACCCGAACTGTCCTGCTACTGAGCAGGCTCCAACACTTTTAAGGGTGTCCCAGTCTCTTGCCAACCTCTTGTTAGGGATTAGCCTCAAAAGTGAAACCAGCCACTCCTCAGAATCACCCACTGCTTCCATGGGCCTAGAGCAGGAGGAAATTCCAGAGGGGCTGGCCTGCAGAGCCTCTTAGCCCTGACCACAATTTGACCCCTCTTTGTCTATTACTCCCAGGCTGCTACTCAGCCTCTGTCTAACCATTGGAGTCTAGCTACCCCTAACTACCTAGGAGGGTGCTACATTTCGAGGAAGCTTTGGGCTAATTAGGGTGAATAATGAATCTCTATTTTGTTACTATTATTATTATACAGGATTTGTATAGCACCAACAGTTTAGGCAGTGCTTTACAATATAAGGGCAGGCAGTACAATTACAATACAATTTAATACAGTAGGAAACAGAGGGCCCTGCTCATTAGAGCTTACATTCTACTTTCCGGTCTCAAGGAACCCTGAGCTGGGCCACTTTCACACTGGGCCCCTTTTACAGATGAAAAACAGACACCCATGTATTTCTATGGGCTAGTGGGTGTAAATGGATGATCATCTGTTTACATCCGTTCATGTCCGCATACATTAACATCCGTTATTTTGAAGGGAACAAAACCCTCTTTTTCTTAATAATAAAAAAAATGAAATGGACGATAAACGGATGTAAACGGATGAAAAACGGATGGAAATGGATGGAAAACGGATGGAAATGGAGAAAAACAGCTGGAAATGGATGTAAACAGCCAAAAAAAAACCAGATGTAAACTGATGAAAAACTGATGTGAACTGATCCGTTTTATCTTGAAAAAAAAAAAACGTGATTGAAAAGATGAAAAAAATGGAACGCCCGTGTGAAAGGACTCTTGATACATCTACAACTCATGATACATTAGTGTGATGGTCAGTGGCAAGAATGCTCCTTACACTTGTGGTCATTGGGATGAATTACCTCCTTACAGATAGCTAAGAAGATCATTGGTGTCAGTGGGAACTTATCTGAGAGGCATAAATTGCTCTACGGTATGTTCAAGGAACCCCTGGCAACCTCCGGAGGAACCTTAGGGTTCTATGGAACCCTGGTTGAGAAACTCTGCTGCAAAGTGAAACAAAACGAAAAAGAAAAGTGAAACAAAAAGAAAAGTGAAACAAAAAGAAAGCACGCCAACCTTGCGCATTACCTCAATACAAAACTTGATTTTATTAAAATGAGATATATACTCACAAAGCAATAAAACAAGCATGCAAGATCCTCAAAGGAGCATTAAAGTGGAAGACCAGTGCGAGTCACATCAAGGGGGGAGACTCCCAAAAGTTCTACTGACGCATTTCGAAAAGGGTCCCTTCTTCCTCACGTTTCGTTTTGAGGTAATGCGCAAGGTTGGTGCGCTTTCGTTTTGTTTCACTTTGCAGTCTTGGTCAGGCTTCCCCAGCCTTGTTAAGAGCTGCACAACCTGTGATCCATTGGTGGATGAACTTCCATAGGTGGACCATCCACCTACTTGCCCTGGATCTGGGTCCCTGAGCGCAGGAAGTGTTGTTTCTATTTCCACTGGCTTGAGAAACTCTGCTGTAATATATCCAAGTGACTTCATCAAGAGCTCTGGGGATGGTGTGGCCTTCAAACAATTGTCATAGTGGGTATAGCATGGCTCTGGTGTTCTGAAAGTTTATTGTGGCATTTTGCAAGTTAAAAAACATAAACACATTAAAGTATTCTACAGAAAAAGGATTACAACAAAAAGTAACTGTAAATGCAGACGAATGTGAGGAAATAGAAAGGGGGGGACTAGGAAGATGAGCTTGTACTAACTGCTATATCAGGATTAGAGCAGAGCCATTCAGCCATACTGAGTGCTGAGCAAATTGTTGGCGCTATATAAATCCCGTATAATATTAATAATAATACTGTATCATACTAAACGCCCGATTTTGCTTCTACTTGTCAAGTAAGCACCATAAAAATATACAATTTAATCCTATGTAGACCTGCCACTATCAAGCCACACTGTTGGCCCCATATATGGCCCCATATATGGCTGACACTCCCTATGTCCACCGCTACTAAAATGATTGTAATTAAAGTGTTACTAAACCCACAACAGTAAAATCAGTCTGTATATGCAGTAAAGCATGCTTGTTATACTCACTGTGGAACCTAAGGGGTTAATCCTCCACATTGTGTAATAGGGCTGTTTGATCCTGTCTTCTCTGATTCTCCCCTTCTTCTACTGTCCCCAATCCATCTGCTGGTAGTAGAGAGCTCTAGGAGTCACTCTGCACATGTTCAGTTTTAGTGTGTATTGCTGGAGATTTTTTTCGGGAGGAGGGTGCATGTGATCAGCACTGTCCAGACAGAGGGTCAGAGGTTATGCAGTCTCATAGGACAGGCAGAGGAGAATTAAAAAATGCTCCTACAAGTTTCAACCAGTGCTCAGCTGGACACTGATAGAAGTCACAAGACTGCTCTAACTGCTGCTGAAAAGGTATTTAGCAGTTTATATTTACAAAAATAATTGCATTTCCATGTCCTGTGTACTGTGGGAGATCAGATATAGTGAATGCAGGGTCCAAGGAGACTGGATACAGTGAATACAGGGTCAGCGGAGATCAGATATAGTGAATGCAGGGTCCAGGGAGACCAGATATAATGAATGCAGGGTCCAGGGAGACCAGATATAGTGAATGCAGGGTCCTGGGGAGACCAGATATAGTGAATGCAGGGTCCGGGGAGACCAGATATAGTGAATGCAGGGTCTGGGGAGATCAGATATAGTGAATGCAGGGTCCGGGGAGACCAGATATAGTGAATGCAGTGTCCTGGGGAGATCAGATATAGTGAATGCAGGGTCCGGGGCAAGACCAGATATAGTGAATGCAGGGTCCGGGGAGATCAGATATAGTGAATGCAGGGTCCGGGGAGATCAGATATAGTGAATGCAGGGTCCAGCAAGATCAGATATAGTGAATGATGGGTCCGGGGAGAACAGATAGAGTGAATGCAGGGCCCGGGGAGACCAGATATAGTGAATGCAGGGTCCGGCAAGACCAGATATAGTGAATGCAGGGTCCGGGGAGACAATATATAGTAAATGCAGGGTCCGGGGAGATCAGATATAGTGAATGCAGCATCCAGGGAGATCAGATATAGTGAATCCAGGGTCGGGGAGACCGGATATAGTGAATGCAGGGTCCTGGGGAGAGCGGATATAGTGAATGCAGGGTCCGGGGAGACCTGGATATAGTGAATGCAGGGTCCGGGGAGACCAGATATAGTGAATGCAGGGTCCTGGGTTTAATAACACTTACATTTTTTTTTTTTTTAGATAACAAACATTTTATACTCACCTGCTTTGTGCAATGGATTTGCACAGAGCGCCCCCCGAAAACTCCTCTTCTGGGGCCATCCACCAGCGCTCCCTGCTTCTCCTCTTCTGAGTGTGCCCCCATAGCAAGTGACTTGCTATAGTGGCATACATGTGGGCACACTCCTGAGTCGGGCTGTGTGCATCCATAGACACAGGCTGCACAGTTCAGCTTCACCCCACGCTCCCTTATTGCAGGATTTGACTGAGAGCAGCAGAAGCATTTGGCTTCCATTGCCTCCGCAAAGCCTATGAGAGCATGGGGAGACGCTAAGACAGGTACAGTGCTGAATCAAGTGAGGACTCAGTGAGGCAAGTATAAGGGGGGGGGGGGGGGGGGAGGTGACGGAGGGGGGGCAATATTGCTACCTAAACGAGGGGTTTTTTTTGTCTTAATACAAGGAATGCATTAAGATAAAAAAATGTTTAGTGCATTAAAGCCACTATAAGAAATTATCATGTGAATCCCTTTGAGAATGTGCGTGCACACGAAACACGTTAGGGAGGAGCCTACATGCTGACGTCACGCCGCCACGTCCACGTGATGGTCCAGCGGCCATCTTTGTAAGTGCTTTTTATCCATTGATGATTTTATGCTCCACGTGGTTGCTATCTTTTTAAGGAAAAATACTATACTATATGATACTGTCTCCGGGCTCGGTCTATGAGCTTGCGCTCTAAGAGGAATCCCTTTCCTTGGTTCACCAGGGGCTGGAGATGGAGACTTGGCTACTCTACTTTTGATTGTTCATTTGATGCATCACTGGCTTCTGGAGAGATCCCACCTTCAACCGGGTCACCGGCAGGAGGAACAAGCAGGAACACCCCTTAGTGTCATTCCGCTCTGGGCTTGCTTGCTACTTACTTCTGGTGAGTGCATTATGGTGGAGGTGCAGTGCGCAAGTCATAGAAGTCACTACATTTTGTTGATTTGATCACATCACTATTTTAGGGACTATTATGATATTTAGAGGACTTATATATTTTCATTTGTTATTTTTTATACTGTCCATTTTGTCTCTTCATTGGAGAATTCACTATTCTCTTTTTCTTTTTTATGCTGGTTTCTTTTCTCCTTTACAATCACACTGGTCATCATTGATTATAACACACATTTTTATTAGCGCTGCACATTGATATTATAGTGTTTTGTTTTGGTGGAGACAGAGGGTTTGCCACGTTGTGCTAGCTGCTTTACTTTTTCCTTTTTTGTCATGCGCTCACCATTTATTCTTTGATTACACTGTAAGTAATTGCTTGCAGCATACTATGGACTCCAGTATTAGGCTTTTCCCTTGCTTCACCCATCACCCTGTCCCAATCTCAGGCTCACTGACTTCGGAAGGTTCCCAGGTATGAACATGGCTTGCGTGGTGGATTGAGCCTCCTAAAGAGCGATCCTTGTTTAGATTTTTCACGCTTTTCAGAGAGCATTTGACAGGCGGTGAGGAGGCATTATAACACCTCCTCACCACCTGATTGAACCCCCTACATGACAGTGCTGCAATTTTGTGCAATGTACATGGTTGCAGCATGGCCCCATTAGATTTAGAGGACTCAGTATGTAAATTTGACAGGCAGTACCACCTCTAAAAATCTGCACCTCAAGTTAAAAATGCAGCTGTAGTGGCACGTGTCTGGCTGTTATTTTACTATTTTCTGGATGGCTGGGGGGTGGTAAAACACCCCCTTTTACTGTCTCCTCGACCGCCTGTTTGCACGAAGGCTAAACTTACAAATGTGGAAAAGCAGAAATGTAACAGAACCGACCCCGACTGCATTTTGGGTACTTCCGTTAGAATACCGCTTCCCTGTCCGAACACCGACAACAGACACCACAGCTGACCATACAAGACTAGACGACACCAGTCTTGAAGTAATCCAGAAGGTAGACTAGTTTATTTGAACACAGATACAAGATATATAAACTCAGGGGACAATCCCCCCTCCCTGCATAATGATACAGGGTGGGGCAATCTACATTTAGTAACAAGAGACACACAGGCATTCTGGGGGGTGGTAAAAAACTTCACACCAGCAGACAGTCCCATCAGGAGGGAGGGCTGGGCTGGAGACACTCCCCATCAAGCCAATACACATAAACATTGTAACAAACTTATTTGAACACAGATACAAGATATATATACACTCAGGGTACAATCCCCCCTCCCTGCATAATGATACAGGGCGGGGCAATCTACATTTAATAACAAGAGACACACAGGTATTCAAACTTCACACCAGCAGACAGTCCCATCAGGAGGGAGGGCTGCTGGAGACACTCCCCACCAAGCCAATACACATAAACATTGTAACAAAGTTATTTGAACACAGATACAAGATATATATACACTCAGGGGACAATCCCCTTTCCCTGCATAATGATACAGGGCGGGGCAATCTACATTTAATAACAAGAGACACACAGGTATTCAAACTTCACACCAGCAGACAGTCCCATCAGGAGGGAGGGCTGCTGGAGACACCCCCCCATCAAGCCAATACACATAAACACATACATCCCATAATAGTTTGCTCCCAAGCAAGACACACAATAGAACAATAGGATGCAACCCCATAACACCAAACAATCCACAACCCCCCACCCCACCTGTATATGTCTACACAATATTAGCACAGATCACCCTGTACCCCTAACAGGCACAGGGTGACTTACACATAATAGGGATATGGGGAGCTGAGACGGGTCTCCCCACCTCTCCAAAGTGAGCTGAGCTCCAGGGGCTCCCCACCCAAAGTGACTCCCGTCACAGCAGGCAATTCCTTTGCATTTTTTAATCCGCACAAACGCATGTCAATTGTGTGCCTTGCAGAGGACAGTGTGGGAATCAAAGGGTAAAGGAGGCAGTGAGGAGGAGATACAACTCCCCATTGCTGCCTGTCAAATGCTCTCTGAAGGGCGACCTGAATACGGCTCACTCTTCAGAGACACTGCAAGTGTGAATGAGCACTTACTGCTTCCCTAACGCCTCAATTCATGTCAATTTAAATGTGCTGCAAACGTGTCACAAACACCCTTATGGCATTTACAGCAAGTTTGCGATGTGTTTAGAAAGCATTGCTAGCTGAGATGATAATTCATGAATCTATACCATGGAAAACCAACAAAGAGGAGGTGCCTGGAACCTGTTATTTAACACAACACAAACATGTCAATTGCGTGCAAAATGCGTCAGTAACACATCTAACACCATAGGTGTGCTAATGGGTGTCCATAGTATCTTCAACCCCTCGTCCTCCAGAGCATTTCCCCCCCTTCCTGACCAGGCCATTTTTTTTTGCAATACGGCGCTGCGTTACTTTAATGGACAATTGCGCCTAAGCGGCACCCAAATGAAATTTACATCCTTTTTTCCCCACAAATAGAGCTTTCTTTCTGTGGTATTTGATCGCCTGTGTGGTGTTTATTTTTTGCGCTATAAAAAAAAAAGATCGTCAATTTTAAGAAAAAAAACCAATATTTTTGACTTTTTGCTATTTAACAAGTCCAATAAAAAAAAATTTTAAAAATCAAATTTCGTTATAAATTTAGGCCAAAATGTATTCTGCTCCATGTCTTTGCTATAAAAAAAACCCCAGTCTGTGTAAATTAATTGGTTTACGTGAAAATGATAGCGTTTACAAATGGCGGTATATATACTAGGATTTTTTATTTATTTTTGTATTCTTACTAGTAATGGCGGCGATCAGCGACTTATAGCAGGACTGCGGAGGGCATTCTGACACTGGGGGGGGACTGACTTGGTGTCACTGACATCCCCAGTGACACCATTACAGTGATCAGTGCTAATAAAAAAGCACTGACGTTGTACTGATGGCACTGGGAAGGAAGGGGTTAACATGTGGGGCGATCAAAGGGTTAACTGTGTGCTGTTTTACACTGTGTGACTGTGTTTGTGCTTCACTGTAATCACACTGCTTTGCAAAGCAGTATACAGGAGCTGACAGGGGAGAGAACTGTATTGTTTACAAACAGTTCTTCCCCCCCCCCCCTTTGAGATGCTCGGCAATCACAGGGCACCACCGAGTAACGGCAGCCGCGGCCGCTAATGGCAGCGAAGGGAGTAGGGCGGCGATCAGTGACCTACCAGGAAATGCAAAATCACAGATTACAAAATCTTGAGTTTTGCTCAAATTAGTTGATGCCAAAATGAATCCACCCCACAACAAAAACTCCTCCATCTAGTATTTTGTATGGCCTCGCACTCATCCCCTACCCGGAGGTGCAAATTCATGTGTATATACGTGATTTTGCGCACCCATTCCACCCTGTAGCAGTATGTCTGCTATAGGGTGGACGGGAATCGGTTAACGGTCTTCTCTTTCCTCCAGCCTGTGACTATACTGTGAAAGGAGAAGCAGCACCGTGATGTTCATCTTCTCATCCCTCTTCTCTCTCCTCCTATCAGCATGCCTCTCGTACTGCATGCAAAGAAACAAACAGAGGGCACACAGGCCTAGTGCAATACCTTTAAAAGATCATTTATTATGTAAATAAATGGTAATATACTCACAAATGAACAAATATCAAGGGCACATCATATAAAGTACAGCAAGGTCCAGTCACACTGGATGATTTCTGTAATGGGACTCCTAGTCTTCCAAATGGTTTACGCGTTTTGAGGACTGCTGATAATCAGCTCTGAGGAAGAGACAAGTCCTTGAAACGCATCAACCATATGGAAGTCTAGGAGTCCTATTACAAAAATCATCCAGTGTGACTGGACCTTGCTGTACTTTATATGATGTTCCCTTGATATTTGTTCATTTGTGAATATATTACCATTTATTTACATAATAAATTATCTTTTAAAGATAATGCATTAGGCCTGTGTGCCCTGTGTTTGTTTTGTTGCATGCAGTATGAGAGGCATGCTGATAGGAGGAGAGAGAAGAGGAATGAGAAGATGAGCTCGTCACTGTGCTGCTTCTCCTTTCACTGTACAGTCACAGGCTGGAGGAAAGAAAAGACAATTAACCGCTTCCCGTCCACCCTGTAGCAGAAGTACTGCTACAGGGTGGAATGTGTTATTATTATTATACAGGATTTATATAGCGCCAACTGTTTGCAGCACTTTACAATATAAGGGAGACAGTACAATTGCAATACATTTCAGTACAGAAGGAATGTGAGGGCCCGGCTCGTGGAGCTTACAATCTAAAGGAAGGGGGAGGTGATACAAAAGGTGATAGCTGCGGGGGATGATCTGGCGGAGGTGATTCAAGTACAGTTCTTAGGTGGAGGTGGGGTAGGCTTCCCTGAAGAAAGATCCTCTGAAGATCGCCTAAAGGCAGACAAGGTGGGGGCTGACTGGACATACTGCGGCAGGGAGTTCCAGAGGATGGGAGAGGCTCTGGAGAAGTCCTGGAGGCGAGTGCATGGGAGGATGTGATGAGGGAGCTAGAGAGGAGGATATGTTTGTTTCTTTGCATGCAGTACTCTGGATCCCCCTGGTCTGTTGAGGGCAGCAAGGTGTGCAGCTTCTAGGCATCTCACTTGTGGTCTCATGCCATGCTTTTCCCCCTTCTACTGCAACTGACTGGCTCCTTGTGCTGCTTCTCCCTCTCCCAGTCTATGCTCTGCTGCACAGGGACCACAAGAGGCTGATACCAGGAGGTTATTACACTGCTTGTATTTAAAATGATTTCATTGAGTACGGAGCTGCAGGAACTTGTTTCTTTTGAATCCACCTGGAGTTTGGCTTTAAGCCGGGGCTAGAACATGTTCATCTGTCGCTTCACAATGAATTATTTCAGCAATTAACAGCGATCTTTTACAATCATCTTGTGAAGTGCGAAGAAACACTACTGTCATAAACGGTTAACCATTGAAACAAAAGGGCCTTGTACCATGACAAGTTGGAAGTCGGGAGGAAAAGATCTATTTTTAACAACCGCTGACTTAATGAAAGCGCCGTCAGCTGAATAATGCAGATGAATGGAAACCTATGGGCTATTTTGATTTCCGACACGCAAACAGTAACAAAATATGTGCTCGATTCCAGACCAGTGAACTGTCTCTACCATTAGACATCAACATGATCGTTCTATCAGACAGAAGGAAGCCAAATTCATGAAGTGAAAGGAGAGGAAAGGAAGGATTTCCATCCACCAAGACATCAGTGAGCGATGAAAGCCGGCAACAATTGTTGGTTTTTCGGTGTCTATTTCAGTGATAGAATATAGCATGTTTGCGCTTATATGGTATCAGCAGGTGGCAGAAGCATGTTTCAATTGTTTGATTTTCGGTTTAGAGGTGCTTCAAAGTGGTTGTAAACCTCTGAAATGAAAAATGAACAAAGCATATCCCTCTATAGTGTGTATTTGTCTCAATCCAAAGTACTAAGTGTCATTTCTGTCTGCTGCCTCATTCCTCTGCTAAGAGCATGAATCACTTCGGCCAAGTGTTTCTGACACCAAGAGAAAAAAGGTGACAGGTTAGGGAGCTCTAGCACACAACCTGTGATTGACATCCTCAGCTCTGTACCTGTGTTCTTTGTGAAGAGGGGCGGTCCCTTCCCTCCAATAAACTTTCCCTCTGCAGAGTGTAACTTCAGCTCCCCGCCCACTGCCTTCAATAAACTTTCACTTTGATGGATGTAGAGAAGAGAAGACTTCAGGTAAACAGGTACAACTTATGTAGGAGGGTTTGTTGCATCTCTGTGAATCATCTGTGGCCAGTAACTTCACAGGGTATATGTAAGGTTTTACAACCACTTTAAAGAATGTAGCATGTTTGAGCTTATATGGTATCAGCAGGTGGCAGATGCATGTTTCAGTTGTTTGATTTTCGGATTAGAGGTGCTTCAAAGTGGTTGTAAACCTCTGAAATGAAAAATGAACAAAGCATATCCCCTAGTGTGTACCTATCCAAGTGTACCTAGTGTAATTTCTACTGTCTGTCTCACTCCTCTGCTATCTGTATGAGTCGCTTCTGACAGGTGATGCCAACTCCAAAGGATTCAAGGGGATGGGGGTGGGGAGCTCCAGCACACAGTAGGTTATTGGAAGCCTCAGCTGTGCATGTTTCAATATGAGTCTGTGTAGAGGGTGGGTGTCCTTTCTTTCCACTCGTCTCAGTTTACACTCAGATCTATGGTGTGCATCATGCAGGGCTGCTGTTAGAAACCAAGGGGCCCCATACAGAAAACCTGACAGGGCCCCTCCACCCATAAAAAAAAACAGTTTACTATGCTTCAGTTATGAATGAACACAGTGAGTGGTTGTTACTGGGACGTGGATGGCTTGGACGTCTCTGTGAGATAGTCGCAATTCCATCTCTGTTATATTTTTGTATCACTTTTGCTACAGTATTCTGACTGATAAGTAAAGCTTTGCTGATCTTGTAGCCTTCACCTTTCTTATGTAAAGAAATTATTTTCTGTCTCAGGCCTTGTGACATTTCTCTTCCATGTGGTGCCATTGCTGACAGCATGAAATGGGAGGGGTTTTCTTTGTTAAGTACCGCCCTTTTATAATCAGATGACTGCTGGACACCTGTTTAATGAATAACTAGACTCACCTGTAGTTGAATTCTTGTTAATCAGGAATTTGTTGTCTAAAATTTAGCTTTGCTCCTAAGACTTTCATTGGGGTGTATTCATTTTTGCAACATGGTCTTGAATGAATTTGTTAGGAATTTTTTTTTGTGTGCAAATTAACAAATCTTGTTTGCAATCAATGGCTGGCATTTGTGGGAGTATTTTGTAGTATAGTATTCCATGGAAAATGTTGATTCTGAAACAAAAGTAAAGGTTTTCTGACAAATCTGTTGGGGTGTACTCATTTATGCTGAGCACTGTAGATATAGATTACAAAAATGTTTATTTTATTGATTACATACAAAAGTTAAAAGTCAATACACATACAGTAAATAGTCTTTCCTGAATGTGTTATGCCTTCTATAAGGTAAATCTACTCGTGTCACAGGTGCTCTAGCTATTTTAGGACCCAAATGATTTATTGAAAGGACATACAGTTGTACATATTGTATGAAATATAACCAAAAACAAAAAGAAACATAAATAAATAGTATCCAACACAAGTACAAATGTATCCATAAATACCTAATATGTGTTGTGTGTCCTAAAAAATAAAAACTCTAACTGTGAATCTGAGATAAATTCTGAAAGGTTCTCTAACTCCTAAAGAGGGAAAATAATATCCAAACACAAAGATAGCACCAGTTCTTTGCGCTTACTGGCCCACGGGAGATCTCCCCAAGCATACATAGATTCCTGGAAGGAAGAGTGTGTAAAATATAAGCCATAAGGTCAGGGCATTAAACATACAAAAGTATCCGCTTGAATATGTTAAGAACAAATTAAATGATTAATGACAGACTCACCTGTGTAGTACATAATAATACCAACAAATTTGATAAAACGTGAGATCCTTTGATTCGATACATCTCCGTGCCTTAGTACTTCCCGATTTGACCCTCTTCTCCTCTCGTTACTGTTACCCTCTTTTTTTCTTCCTTTCTACTTTTTTTATTTTTTTGTTTTCTGGTGCTAGTAAACCTCCCTGGCGGTCTGATTATTTCAGATTTTTGGTGCTGAAAGCGGTACTATTATTTTGCATGGAAATATGTAGTTTTTTTATTGTAGGCCTGTAATTCTTAGGAATAACTCACTGAAATCTGTCCGAACAAGAGAGTCTAGTAAACATCCCGGGTAGGATAAAATTTGAAACACGAAATCATAAATTATAATTTAATAAATAATCATTAAAAATAATAATATAATAATAATAAATTTAATTCAATAATATAATCAAACCAAAAACACTGAAATTTGAAATATAGCGCCAAGTTCGCACATCACTGAGCAAAGTCGCAAAATCGCTTTCCGTGTCTGATAACGAATTTCCCCCACGAATCATTATCACTGAATTCTGCAAGTGGTTCTGATTTACTATCGCTGTTCTCTAGCTGGTCTAAAACCGCTTTTGACCTAAAGGGATGCTTTTTGGACGCCATGGACGTTTCTCAGTTTCCAGGCAGAAAGAACAGACAAAATGCAGACAGGGCGCCGGACAAAGCACTCGGGACAGAATGTATGTGAAATGGTTTGAAACAGCAATGTTTTACTATGTAAAATTTGTTTGGAAAAAAATTACATTTTTTTAAATTTTCAAATTTCCCTCCGCCGCCGCTGCTTGTACATCCCAACGTCACAGGGACCGGAACACAGAAGCCGGATGCCGGCATCGGCCGGAGGAGATGGCCGGGGATGCTGCAGGGGACACATCGCGGGAGCGAAGGACAAGGTAAGCTCTGCAGGGAAACCCTGAGCAACGCTGCAGGGTAAGCCCGAGTGTAGCTCAGGGTTACCGCTTTTGGTACTGACATTTTACCCCGAGCTACACTCGGGAATACCGCTAGGGAGGTTAAGTTCAATTTTTTATTTGCTCTGCAATATTTATCTTTTTTTTAATGAAGAATGCTCTGTGCGATCCATGTGTTTCCTACTATTGCTTCCCCTACACAAGGTGGACTTAATGCTGGGAACTTTATGTTTGAGTTATCTAGTCATTATTGCACAGATTTTCTCTACGGTATATCTGTTGTTTATTCAACCAGCTGTTTATTGGTGATGTTTGATATCTTATTCTATAACATGCCACTTGTCTATTACGTTTTCTGTCATTTGAAAAATTTCAAAAAAAATATTGGAAAATAAACATGCAAAAGTAATAATAATGTAATAGATATACGGCGTGAATATGGGAGAAATAGGCTATGGGATGCAGGCATCACAGTGATCTGATGACAATTGTTGGTCAATATAGGGCATGACAATATATAGAGTTATAAGAAAATGTATATGACCATAAATCACCAGCGCCAAAAAATATAAAAAATACATAAAATTATAAAAACAAAATTAAATGCTGCTGTACGTAAGTGTAACTTACACCAAAAATTATAACATCACAAACAGCGCAAAATAATTTGTTAAAGTGCTAAAGCAATATGTAAAAAAATATTACATTCAATATTATATATAGTATATATTGGTTTGAGCACTAATTTCTGGTGGAAGCACACTTCTTTGGAATAAGGACTTTCTGAATATTTAAGGATTTTTTTCAATTTTTTTATTTTTTTTTTCACTTGTCATATTTTTCTTCACATATTTTGGAGTGGGACTATATTTTATATTGAATTTGATATTTTTTACATATTGATTTAACACTTTAACAAATTATTTTGCGCTGTTTGTGATGTTATAATTTATAAGAAAATGAGACAAAAAAGGAAATCGATTCTCAATCATATCCCATTTGGAGTTAGCGAGATGCTTCAGATGAAATGGTATTTACTAGGGCAGAGTATGGAATAAGGCTTCAAAACAGCATACACCAACTCCACATGGAGGTATCTAAGGAAACCCAAATAAAACCTGTAAACTGATTGTAGAATAAAGAGTTCTACATACAATGTCCACAAATGTATACAAAAGACTATCCCACCTCTAAGCCCGCCAATATCCATAGACACATACACAAGGGATTGTCCCTCCCAGGGGTGACTGACAACTCATGGGGCTCCTGGGCAATAGGGGATCATGGGGCCCCTGTGTCCTTGCCCAAACTCAAAAAAGCCTATGGAAAGGTACCAGGGGCATCTCATGGGGCCCCCTACTGACCCTGGGATCTCAGGCAGTACCTGAGTTTCCAAATGGTCCCTCCCCACCTGGGATCAAGGTGAAGACATCTTCAAACCGTGTGCAAAACACAAATGAGAAGAAAGTGTGAAAGCCAGGGCCTTAAATAGGCAAAGGTGAAAGGGATCCAAGGGCCGCATGCACGCCATAGATAAGTTCCTAATGAGGAACAGATACATCCACAGCATGCGGGAGGACCGCTCCCCTCCATCCGCTGTCCACCAGAAAGTCCCAAGATGGCAGCGGGAGATGAAGTGTGCAATACTGGAAGTTGCCCAACTCCGGGAATTGCCTCACTTCCGGTCCAAGTGAAGCAGCAAGTCCAGAAGGGATACACATGAACAAGCCAAAGCCATCCAGATTGGGGGAAGCACTAGTGCAGGGGTCTGCAACTTTTAAGACATAAAGAGCCACTTGGACCCGTTTCCGAAGGGAAAAAAAAGACTGGGAGCCGCAAAACCATTGCAACATTTAAAACAAATCCGACACTGCATATATTGTTTCTTACCTTAATGCTATATACAGGATCGTGCAGTTAGCTTCATCCCCCATATAGTAAATTCATCCCCCCATAGTAATTCATCCCCCCTATAGTAATTCATCCCCCATATAGTATAATTCATCCCCCCATATAGTAATTCATCCCCCATATAGTAATTCATCCCCCTATAGTAATTCATCCCCCTATAGTAATTTCATCATCCCCCTATAGTAATTCATCCTCCATAGTAATTCATCCCCCATAGTAATTCATCCCCCATACAGTAATTCATCCTCCATATAGTAATTCATCCTCCATAGTAATTCATCCCCCATATAGTAATTCATCCTCCATAGTAATTCATCCCACATAGTAATTCATCCCCCATATAGTAATTCATCCTCCATAGTAATTCATCCCCCATAGTAATTAATCCTCCATATAATAATTCATCCCCCATAGTAATTCATCCCCCCTATAGTAATTAATTCCCCATATTGTCTCAATTCACTTACCTTTGCTCCGCCCGTTCCTCTCGCTGTGTTCCCGCGCTGTGTTCCGGTCTTCAGGGCGGACTGTGAGAGGAGTTCGTCACGCTGCCCCGCCTACATCCTGGCTGCCCCGCCTACATCCTGACAGCTAATGTTCCACGCTCCGCGGGCTGGATTAAAAGAGTCCTGACTTTTGAGGCGGCCGCCCGAGAGGAGGGAGGGGAGCGGGCGCCCGGCACACAGAAGAGCCGCATGTGGCTTGCGATCCGCGGCTTGCCGACCACTGAAACCCTATTGCCTGTCACCTGGTGGGCAGTGTGCTCCGGAGCCGCAGCAAAGATGAAAAAGAGCCGCATGCGGCTCTGGAGCCGCGGGTTGCCGACACCCGCACTAGTGGAAACATGCCATAATAATAACATAAAACCAAATAACAAACAATATCTCTTCTGGAACACATCAACAAAGATAGTTATCGTAGAATCAAGAAAAACAGTGTTTGGAATTTGTTTTTGTTAAATGGGCGACACCAAGTGGGTGTAAATACCAGAGAGGCTTGGAAACCACCACCCAAAGATGAAAGGACGCTCAAGGTGATGGGATTAGATGGAGGGGCCAGCAACACATCTAATGTAGTTAAGAAATACAACTAGGTCTTGTCCCCACCCCTAACCTGTGATTGGGCAATGTAGGCAAAGCAGCTGACTGATGAGCTCATCTCTTTATCACTCTGTTCTCTCCTCCTATCAGTATGTTCCTTGTAACACAGGAGCACTATGAGGGTTTGTTCACATTAGACATGTGCAACACAAAAAAAAATTGTTTCGTTTCGAAATCTAACAAATTTTGTGTAGATTGATTCAGTAAATTCGTTCAATTCGTTTTCGGGATTTGTTTCAGTAATTCGTATTCAAATTCAATTCGAAAACATTTCGTCCAAATTCGAAAAGTCGTTTGCATTCTAAATTGGTTCAACTGAATTGGAAATTGATTCCACAATATTCGAAAAGTCTTTCAAAATCGAAAAGATTTCAACCGAATTAGAAAAAATTTGAGAAATAACGGGGAGCGGGGGACCAGTCTTTAAGCGAAACTTCCCCTTTTGGGTGGAGCTCTGGTTTAAATATGTTTTCAAATGTTTGTTCGGTTTTGTTTTCTAATTTGTTTTCGATTTTGTTTTCAAATTCTAATTTGTTTTCAATTTTGGTTTTCAAATTAGTTTCTAATAGCATTTTGGACGAATTTCGTTTTGTTATTTCAGATTCGTTTAAATTCTTTATTTTTGTCATTTGTTATTCAGATACACAATAACAAAAAAAGTGTCTAAAATGTAATTCAAAACAAAACAAACTGAACATGTCTAGTTCACATGTGAAGTTGGGGAGCAATAAAAACCTATGGTTAACCCCCCCCCCCAACCACTACCCCCTTAATCTGCAAAGGGAGTGTCTGGAAATGCACAAGTGGTGTAAAGCTTTTTGGCAGGAATTATACCCCCTGTCGCTTTCAGTAGGCGCAGTGCCTGCTGAACACAGCCCATTCAATTGAACCCCACCCACTACAGGCTGCCTGCAGAAAACTACAGGAGGGGGCGGAAACAAGACCAGTCACCCTGCACAAGGAGAGAAAGCAGCAATGACCGGTCTTTATTGCAGGAAGGAAAGTCTCACTCGGCTGCACGGATCTGGATGAAATACACAAAGCACGCTAAGATTCAAGAAACAACGATGAATATATATTTAGATGATATTCCTTATTCCAGAGTTTGGCTTTAAAGCTAGATCCCTTGCAGATTTAAATCGCCACCATTGGATCAATATAGTCAGTAAAGCAAACCTGTCATAAGAGAAACATGGAAGCTATCATCCAATAATATATATGATTTTTTCTTTCATTTCTACTCATTTTGTTCATTTATTTTTGTAGTTATCTATTTTTTTTAATCTCAAATTTATTTCATAAATCAATCACTTTGCCATGTTTTGCACCGGGAACTTAATTTTAGTTTCATTATATATACAGTTCAAATTACAGCATAAAAACCTATTATCTACTTATTATACTGTAACACTGCTTGTTTGTTTTAAAATGAACACTAATCAAATTACAAGAAATATTTTTTTATTTGATTGCACATTTTTTTTCTTTAGGTTGCAACGAAAAAACAGGGATCAGCAACACAGCAGGGGTGTGACTTGGGGTGTGGTCTGTTTTTAAGTAGGGCTTATCTATCTCTCAACCCCCCACCTCACCCCCTCGGTCTCCGCCCGAATCACACACCTACTGAGCGACATATCAGACAGGATGTCGCTCCACTTCCTTAAACTGAACCTCCCAAAACCGAGTTTCTTGTCTTCCCCCCACCACCCCCCATTGACTTCTCCATCACATCCAACAACGCCACCATCAAACCCGCCCCGCAGGCCAGAGTACTTGGTGTCATTCTGGACTCCAACCTATCCTTCCAGCCCCAAGTCCAATCTTTAACAAACTCGTGCAGACTCCACCTCCGCAACATCGCCAAAATCTGCACGTTCCTAACCCCAGAAACCACTAAACAGCTCATCCACTCCCTCATCATATCACGACTCGACTACTGCAACTCCCTCCTCACTGGCCTGCCTCACCGCTGACTATCCCCGCTTCAGTCAATCCTGAATACGGCTGC